AAGCCGACTGCGCCCTTTCAGTTCTTAATATCCAGAAAGTATTTCAAAGAAGGCCCCGAACTCGTATTTCTTTCAAAATGGTTGCTCTCCCAGATCCTACCGCATTTCCCTGCTTTTAATGTCTTCTAATCAAAATGCTCTCTGTAACCTTGACTGCGCAATTTGCAGTAAACAGCGAATGAGATTTCAAAGGATGCACAGATGTGTTGGTCCTGTCGCAAAAATTTTTAACGAAATGATGGCCTGCAAATACGTTTTGTTCACAAGTTCACTTTTAAGAAAATAGGTCTCTGACTGTTTCCATCGTTAGGGAAGTATGTATGAAAAGAAAAGGTAAGAAAGATATGAATGAAGATTGTTGGAAGAAATGTCATAGCATCTATGATAATTTTTCCGTTGATTACCAAAACCCACTTTTTTCACTCATTTGTTTAGAACAAAACTTGCTCGTTTCCTCCAATTAGCTACCATGGTATATCAACACAGTCATTTTTATTGTCCTATCTGTGGATTATCGAACCTATGCTGTCAGTTTCTTCAACTTCCAAATCTACACAGATATTTGCTCCATAAGATATAAATTTTTTTAAAAAAAGAGTACGTACTAGCTAGAATTATAAAAGGAAGGGGAAGGCTCCAATTGATGTCAAATTTCTTGTGAAGGGGTTTTTAACTTGCAACAAAATAATTTCAATATTCGTATGTCATTTAATTGGACAGGTCCGGTTGCACCTAAGCCATGCCAGAATGTTATTGATCAGAGTGGGTTTTTGACAGTGAAGTTTGTGGCTTGTTTCAACTCGCTTCCTCCTTTTGCTCAGCACCCTGATTCTTACGAGAAAACTCGAAGATTAGATCGAGTACATTCATTGTTTGGGCAAGCCGGGATCTCCATAATCAGATGACAGCATTTAATTAAAAGAGGGTACAATACAAAGCGATTTTCAGATAAACAATTAGTAGAAATAAGTTGTTTATTACCTTTTAAGTTGTCAGCCGCCAAAGAAGTGCCCAAAACAAGATGAACAGGAAGCGGCATGTTTTATTACTGCTCTCGATTCTATAGTCTACAATAGGTCTGAGTGCAATGTGTAAAATCACGTTTTCGACTGTTAACGCTGCGATGCATACCAAGCTGATCAGTTTCCTAGTGTGCTTTGAATCATGGAAAGCACGAACGAGCCCGTAGCTAACTCTTGCGCGGACGGATTGATCCAAGTTCCAAAAGCAAAAGACATTACATCCATTCAAACATTATATATTTCACATACCTAGGTCTATGACGTTAGCGCAGTGGAGATACTCAACAATCGATTCAAAAGTAGCAAGGATCATTCGAAGTGGGGCGTATCAAGGAATGCTGATGTGCCTGTGGTTTGTATCGGAGACATAAATCGTCATGTAAACATTGCCAGATTGTTCCTAATAATTACTTTTTGGAATATTATCATCCTAGAAATTCCAATACAATCGTGGCGGTGGAGCTGTTTGTCTGCAGGGTAAAACCTTGTGGACTGCTTTCAACACCTCCATTAACGCATTCGAAGGATGTAAGATAAAATCACATGAGTAGCCTTATATCATTCTCCAGTATATTTTGTTTGGCAAGAATAAATCATCTAAACATTCAATCACATATGGATACTCAGTTTGCAAATCATTACATGTCCTCGCTATAAAAATCACCACCTGCATGAAACAACGTATGCTAACAGACAATATTAATTCAAGAAAAATTATTAGAGTTCATCAATCATCGAGAGATGCTGTATGCTTCCTTTCGTTTATCGCTTGCCAGCAATTGCTAATCCACAATTTAAGGGTACATATAAGCGAAGTTTTTGAGATCCATATCCATTATCGTTGATAGCGGTGTACAGCAAGATTTCATTCGAGCAAGGAACCGATAACCTACTAGGTTCCAACCTAAGGAGGTATTGTCTAACAAGGGCAAGACATTCAATCGATAGTGGTGATGTTTATTGGAAAAATTTTCTGAATGAACGAATATCTAACATTCTTCTTAACGGATATATGCGAACAAATGAATAATGGAGATAGTGTTTAAAATACAGTTGAATCCAAATATTTGAACAGTAGGTCCTGAACACGCGACTAATCAAATTATCGAATAATAGGGCAGATGGGCCTAGATGGCCTCCTTCACTCGTCGTGGAGCCCCCACTTTTTTTCATCCGTTTCTGTCTCTCGCTAGCATCATCCATGATGTCGGTTAAGCTACAGTGCCGACGTTTGCGAAGTCCAGGCCCTCGTTGCCAGCTGAAAGTTCAGCTGGTCCATCCATGCAACGAACACGTCAGCCCATCTGGACGGGATCTCCTTCGAGGACGTTTTGCTTCACGAGGAATCCATTCCAGAGTTCTTAGTGTCTATCGTCGTCTGTCCTTTTAATTATATGACCACCCCAGCAAGTTTTGCTTTAAAGTGTTCCGCTGGAGACATTCATCTTATATCTGAACTGCGAAGACGAGACATTGATCTTATATCTGAACTGCGAAGTCCGATGAGATGCTGAGTGCGTCGGTTGTACTCCAGCAGACGCCGTTCCAGTGCTCTGTGAGTTGTTCGAAAAGCTTTTGATGTAGCCACAGTGTGAGGTCTCTGCTGC